GGACGAACTGGGAGAGGAAGAAGACTTCTCCGCGCCGTTCCGCATCATGAGCTAGCTCGTTCGTACGCTCGTCCGCTCCGTTTCATCACCAAGTCGTTCGTTTCCGTTGGTCGCTTCGGCGCGGTTCGACGCGGCGCGGCGCGGCGCGGCGCGGCGCGGCGCAGTGCGACGCGTAATCAAGTGGTATAAATAATTCCGACGCGCAGCCATGAGCCGGCCGTCCTTCCGTCCATCCGTTCGCCGCCCGTGCGAGGCTTAATCCCCTGTTATGACACGCCAGAAATTGGAATGCCACATCACGCGTCACTAAACTGGAAACTCGCGCTCACCCACAACATTGAATCCTCCGCTGCTGATAAGAGTGCCTGCCCAGGATAAGATTCTTATTCGAAGCTCGATTATAATAATCTCTATATACAATATCTATTAGTCTGGAACAGTTTTAGAGTAACGTTAATTTAGTCGCCTAAGTGACATAAATAGGTGCGATGTTATTGCGCCAGAAATTAACGCGCTGACTTGACGCACGAGTTTAATTCAGCTAAATTGCGAACAGTATTTAAAGGAATGGTACGTTGGAGTTCTCTCGACGAGCACCGTAGTATAGATTGGCTACTAAGAGAGCTAGCTTTATACAGATAATAGCTATGAACTAGAACCCAGCAAGCCACGCTGAAAGCACAGTTACGTTAATATCGCTAGACTAATTTTGACTCGTCGGTGAAACGCGGAAGATAACGGAATGCACTGGAGATTTTCACATTGCGTTTTTGCGCTCATGTCAGCGCATACTCATTGACTGACAAAATAATAATAATAATAATAATGATATACATTATCCAATAATAACGTATATACATTATTCATTTTAAATGATATTTAAAAGATTTCGTTATCTCCTTCCATTATACCGATTCGGTTTGATCATTGCAATTTTTATTAAAGTTTACATTTGACGACAAAACTTACGCGTTAATACAATTTCAAATCAATGTAACGATGCCGAAGCATCACAGGCGAATAATCGAGGGAGTGAAGATTGTATAGTTTCAGTCGTAGACTTTGAGAACAGACAATACCGGAGGATGTTGAAATGGTATGACACGTCGTTGCCACTGCCGTGTATGACTGGCCGATTCCGTCGACTAACGCCCCGGATCGCGAACCTGTCATTAGTGCAACGGAACCGGTGCATCGGGGGAACACAGGGAGAGCACAGGGAGAGCACAGCGGAATGTCCGCGAGCCGGCGCGGCGTGCAATGCGATGGACGCCCCTATTATCGGTCGCTCGACCGCCAGAATGCCGTTAGACGCACCGACGGTCAATCTATTGTATCCTACGTGTGCGCATGCAGCTCCGCAGGCGATCTCGCATCGCGAGCGACGCGAACGAGGAGAGTGCGCGAGGGCTTAACCAGACGACAGAATTAGCTCGCGTTCGAGCGCGTTACGAGGAAAATTTCCTGCCCAACCTGCCGATGCGTCTTCGCCGCAATTTGCAATTTGTTCGTTTAATTTTTACGGCCAATTTCACAACTCACTCTCGAACTCTCAATCGAGGTTCAATTTGTTTTTCATTTCTTTCCAATTCTAGAATTGGAAAGAGATAATGATAAGTTGAATCTCGATTAAGAGTCAACCGTGAGACTTGTGAAACTGGGCCTAAGTCTCTCGATGTTATTGTATTTATTACAGTATTGATATTCAAACATTCGACCTACGGGTGACCCGTTCAGTTTCGGTTATATCATAACTGTTGATTTGGCGACGTTTTGATTTTCAATGCCACGAGAATCTGGATGGTTTGAGTCGTATTAGTCATATCTTTCTTTAATCCTCTATACAACAAATTGCAAAGAAGACGACGATTTATGCGTGACCAAGAATAAAGAAATGACTGATTAAATCCAGTTAGCGTATTCGTGACGAAAGAATTCCAATTGTCGTTGAAAAAAAGCAGACACCGAGAAACATTTGTTTGCGCCCTCGAGCAATCCCTCTAAGCGCAGAGCGACAGAAATAAAGCCTACGTTTATAGTAACCGCGGGTGAATGGAATTGAAAGGGTGAATCACTTCCGTTCGTTTCAACCTAACTCTCTCGATCGAACGATCTCGAGGAAGCGGTTGATCTTACACTTAACTATCGTACTTTCTCTGACTCGGTAAATTTTCTGATTTAACTCAATTCGCTCGTCGTGTTATTACAAATCAATTTCAGAAAGTGAGACAATAAGGCAATCGAGCGTAACGACGCGTAAATGAAAACATGACGGCTCGAAAGTCTTCAAGTGTCACGACGCGAAATTTTGAAGTTCTGACGATGATAAATATTTCTCTTCTCTGCTTTTCTCTCTCTCTCTCTCTCTCTCTCTCTCTCTCTCTCTCTCTTCCTCCCTCTTTCCCGCTATTCAGTACGAGGGAGCAGCGCATGGTGTTGCAATGCAAACAATGCAAACTTACAGTACGGATGCACCTGTGTTATGCTCCGAGACACATGAGACGCGATTTCAATACAAACAGCGGGGGCCTGTATGGTGCGTAATACAGTTACGACGGTCAGCAGTTTCCGGTTTCTTTATACCTTCTGAGAGGAAGATGAGACAGGAAACGGACGCTGTGAGCGCAAAATATTTGAGACCTCCATGAATCCTTCCCTTTTCCTGCTGCGAGTTTATCGTTAAACGTTCGTTTGATTCTCAAGGCGAAACATCTGACTACTTTTACGTTGAATTAATTAATGTTGAAATAAAACGATTTAAATCTCGCAATGGCAATAAAGAGGCTTTTGCCTCTCTACATTGTAAATGAAATTATAAACTTTCTATCGTATGTAGATAAAATTAATTATTACAAAAAAGTAGTTAACGTACCATCATTCCAGGTAATCTAATGTCGCAGGAACGACGTGGTAGAAGGAAGATTTCTTTTCACAGAGAGGCCACCCGGGCCTGAGGCCCTGGCAGAGGGGGGCCCACCATGCCCCTCCAGTTCTTCGTGTCCTTTTGTGTCGTTATACCAAAGCAGCGGATTTTGCCCTCGACACGTTTCGTCGATACACTTTTTCGTCACGATTGTAAATATCAACGAAACTTGAATGTCATCTTTTCCTCGCTCGTTCAGCGATACACGTCATTTATATTCCTTCTACGGTTTTGTCGTTAATCTTTATAATCGTAACTGTAGCACTCGATTTGTTTATACTCGCAAATAATATAAATGATTACACTCAATGTCGTCCGATTATTCACGAGTAAAGACGTACACGTCCATGTGAACGCTCGATACACTTGTTCGATTGTACCGTTATCCCGATGGGATTGAATTACGACTAAACGCTACTCGACTGGGGAAAGAAAAAAATACGACAAGGCACCGGAGAGTCTTCACTTAATTCGTTTGTGCTCTCGCTGTCGCTAAATGTCACTCAACCCTTTCGTTCACGCTGCCGAGACAGCGTGCGCAGAATCGATTTCCTTCTATCGATCGTTCGTAAAATGTAATGCCCATCTTAACAATTTGACTAGCTATCGTCGTCGACGCACTAACACACCAACATGCCGACGTCGTCTCTTTGTATGTCACGCGTCACAGAGAGACTGTTCGAGAAATCTTTTTCGTCTCTCGTCTTATCGCTTCCTCACTCGAGTTACCGATCCTCTTTCACAGAGAAAGAACGTGACACTTCTTTCGATGTGGCCTTGCACGCCGCGTATCGCCCGCTAGCTTATTCCCTGACCTCTGACCTTGCTAAGTTCTCTCACAGCCAGCGACCGACCGACCGACCGACACACCGACGAGATGCGTATCGACGATAACCGAAGCCGATTGTGAAAAATAATCGAGACGACGCAATTGTTTTATCCTAAGTCTCGGTGTTTCTATAATTTCTTGAAAACGCTCACCACTAGCGGACTTTTCGCCGCTAATTCACATTCTTCGCAAGAAAGAAACAATGATCGCGGGAAGCACTTTTTGTACAAATAGTTCTTCACAAAAAGTGTTTTCACAGTTTTCGTACTTTCTTTCCTTTCTTTCGAGTAGCTTAAAAACGCCAAAGTTCGAACACGCTCTCGTTGTTGACACGCGTTATCGCTTGGTATTGCCACACGACGTGATTTCGTTCCAGAAAACGGTCTAGTTCTACCGGCGATGGTCTCTCGATCCACAGCGTGGGAACGGAAGAAAATCGCGACGGCGGAGGCAGCTTTTCGTCGACGAACGCGCGCTTCGATTTTCCCTCGTAAATCGTCAACAGGTGGTTTTCCGAACGACGACGCACGCGGAACGCACGCGACGCGGATTCTCAGAATCCAACGGGACGCGGGCTCGGCGATCGCGACTCGCGACTTGCGGCGGTTCGACGAACAGCTGATCGCTCGTGCGACGTCCTGGCTCCTCTCGGCGGAGCGGGAGGAGAGACAGGAGAGACTAAACCAGTGTCGCCGCGCGATCGCGTGTAGTCGACTGATGCCTCTGGAAGTTCTCTCGGACTTGGCCTGAACTAACGGACCGGACAGAATTCGCCGTCGCGATTCCAGTCACCGAGCACGAAACGCCGGACTGTTTTATATCAGACCTCACTCTTCTCGCATGCCCTCCCTTCCTCCGCCGTCGGTGTTTTGTTCAGTGTTCCGATGCGTGCGCCTAACTCTCGCGAAACTATTTTCGTTCCTGCGACGGCAGGAACGACGACGCGTTTAAGCAGCACGCGTTGCTTCCCACCACTCTATCGCTCCTTTCCGTTCCCTCTGCGCCGTCTTCTCTCTCACACGTGTCTTCTGTTCTCGCCGCTCGTCCCGCTTTTCTCGTGCTTTTCCCGTGGCCGTCGTCGAGCGCGTCCCGAGATATACGTCGTATACGGCGTTGAGTCCACGTTATTGTCGTCCTCGCCGTCGTCGTCGTCCTCCCCGTTGCCCCGTTGCTCGCTAGGTTTACAATACAGGGATCGCGCGCGCTTCCCCCCACGCGGTGGACGCACAGCAGAAGGAGGATGAGACGGAGGAGGGCGACCGGGTTCTTTCATACGCAAACATCGGCTGACGACTCTCGTCGTGCGGCGTCTCGGCCCTCTCGACGAGTCACGAGCGAGCAGGTAGTATCGCTGCGCCCCTTTAAACTTTTCGTAACGAACGGCTACGATCGGCCGGTTGTTTCCTCGCAGAGGAAGGCACTCACGCACTCGTCCACTCGCGGTTCATGGCGCGAAATAACATGATCGTTTACTATACTACTACCTTCTCTTCTCGACTCTTCTTCTCTCTCTCAGTCAGGCATCGGCGATGCACGTGCAAACGAAAAAGCTCGCACGAAAGAGAAAGGAGGAGAGGGAGTCTCACAGTTTGACAAGTCGAGAGAGGGAGAGACTTGGCTGGCGAATATTTTAAAAATCAAGCACACTGAAGAAGAGGAAAGAGAAGAGGGAGAGAGTGCAAAGAACGGTAGGTTGTACGCCCTGTCGAAGACCGCGAGCGATTGACTCCCGCGCGTCCCGGTCTCTTCGTAGCCACGGCACGCGTGAGAGAGGAACACGGGAGGGGATTCCCACGGGAGGGGGGAGGAGAAGCGGCGACGGCTGCCGCGGTAGGGCCAGGAGGGCACGCGAGAAAGGGAGAGAGAGAGAGAGAGAGAGAGAGAGAGAGGACGGAATTGGATAGACGAGGAGAGACAGACAGAAGGGGTGGAGTGAAGGGGGCAACTTGAGTGACGACGAGGGTGGCAGGGGGGAGGAGACGGTAGGTATGGCGCGTGCCACTACACGCTAGCAGGTGGAGTGCGCGTGCCCAGAAATCTCTATTTCTCCCCCTTTGCGTTTCCGTTCTCTTTTCACGATTCGCCGCCAACTTTTTCTTCCCGTATCTCTCTTCCCCTCTTTTTTTCCCTCCTCCGTCTTCGTTCGGCTCGTCGTTCGTTGTGCGTTTTACAGTTTTTCCATGTTTCAGGAAATGTCCCTCGTCCTCCTCTTTTGCTTTGTGATGCTGTTTTTTCCTCTTTCCTTTTTTTCCTCACGTTTTTCAAGGGTAGAATTCGCGATCGACGTACCCACGTCGCATTCTCATTCTCAAAATTTCACTTTCTTCCTTGGGCTCCTAATCGATGATTTTGTGACGTTTCACACGGAGATCGTTTCCGAGTTTCCCGCGCGTGTCACTCGAGCACGTCACGCGATTACAACGCGCCACCTCGACCACGACGTGCCGGCATGATAATACGAAATCGATTCGCCCGATTGAGAGATTCCTGCATTCATAATGTTTACGTCGCACGGTCAGGTTATTCTCGTAGTCCGATAAGAGAGTTGCTAACGAAAGTCTCGATAAGCGTGTTAGCCGAGTTGTTGCGACAAGTTTACAGTAACGTCACGGACACATCCACGAATCCTATCCGTGTCAAAAACTCACTTTCGTTGGCGTTCGCCAAATGTTTTAATTTTAAGAAAAAAATTGCAAAAAACACGGCAAAATTTGTTAATAATTATATATGCCTCAGTTCCAAATGCTGTCAGATCTTATGGAGGGTGCATTCAATTTCGACAACTTCGAAGGAACTCCAGTTCAGTCTGTCGTAACGATTCATTCATCATTAGATCACTGAATCAATACAATGTCTCGACGTGTCGTCAGCATCCACCAGAGAAACCCACTGCAAAATCGAATGCACTGCCGTGGCGAGCTTTCATAAATTTCGTTAGTGCTTCTCTTCTACGGGTACAATGCGCATCTGTCAATCTCGCAAAAATGAACGATATACACGGAGGACTAGTCCAAATCTCTTCGAGGTTTGCCGAGTCACATCTCGCGACGCGTCTCTTAGCTCGCGCGAACCCCGAGGATGCTCCTCGTGTCGCGTTACGTCGCGCAATGCGAGCTGTCACCGCTGCGCACGTGGCTCGCTAGGAGACGCGATGCGACGGCACGTCCCCCCCTTCGATACGAAGAACCTGACGCTCCGAGAAGTCGCCAGCCACTGACTACGTGCATCGCGACCGCTCTGGGCGGCCTGGCTCCTCGCTAGTCGCTCACGCGGGGAGGCACGCGCGGCGACGGCGGCAGCGGAGTCTCGGCTACGTTCGGCCGGACTCG